TGAAAACTTTTGTGAGAAGCAATACCCAGTGGGACGAAACTCTCCCCTGGATGATATTTGCCGCAAGGGACTGTATCCAGGAGTCTTTAGGATATTCTCCTTTCCAGTTGGTGTTTGGACACACCGTCCGTGGTCCCCTCAAGCTAATTCAAGAGCGATGGACTGGCACCGGAACCCACCCGGTAGAGAACTTTGCAGATTTTCACCATCATCTGAAAACTGTGTGTGATTTGGCCCATAAGAACTTGAGAAAGGCCCAGGTGATTATGAAAGGACAGTATGACAAAGGTACTCGCAAACGAACATTCAAGTCTGGTGAAAAAGTACTTGTTCTTGTACCTAACCTTAATAATGCTTTATCCTTAAGGTACTGTGGACCTTTTACTTTCCGTGCTAGATTGAATGATCTGAACTACGTCATCGACACTCCAGACCGGAGAAAGAAACAACAGATATATTATATTAACTCATTAAAGAAGTACTATGAAGATAGTACTGATTCCCTTTCCATAGATAAGGTTATTTTTACCAATATGTATGTCTAATGAATCTGATGATGTTATCCATGACAAGCTAAAGCCCCCAAAGTTGTTAAATTCCTCATTTTCGGCTCATTTAGATGACCACCTTGTACATCTGTCCACTGATGAAAGTCAGAAATTGTCACAGTTAATTGATACCTTTCCTCCATTTTTGGGGATATCCGCAAGGAAGCAAATGTACCCCCTCACGTTGTTGATGTAGGTGATATAAAGCTGTAAAGCAACATCCCTACAGGTTAAACCCTGAAAAAGCTGGTATCATGAAAAATGAAATTAATTACATGTTAGAAAACGACATCATTGAACCCAGTTTTAGAAATTGGAGTTCCCCCTGTCTTTTGGTCCCAAAAGGCGGTGGCTCTTTCAGATTTGTGACTGACTTCAGAAAAGTCAATGCACTTACCAAATCTGACTCTTACCAATTGCCTAGAATAGAGGATATAATTGATAAAATTGGTCAATCAAAGGTTATTTCTAAAATTGATTTGTTGTCAGGGTATTGGCAAATTCCTTTATCAGAAAGAGCCAAAGATATTTCTGCATTTGTTACCCCAAATGGGTTTTACAGGTATAAACGCATGCCGTTTGGTATGAGAAACGCTGGGCAAACGTTTCACGCGTCATAAACTCTGTTATTGCAGATATTAACAAATGTGATGCTTACATTGATGATATTTTAGTGTACTCTGATTCCATTGAAGAGCACATTGTCCAGTTAACTCAGCTTTTCAAAAAATTGTCAGAGATTAATTTCACTGTTAATCTACATAAAAGCGACTTTTGTAAAAGTTCTATTACTTATCTAGGTTATCAGGTGGGTGCTAACCAGGTTAGACCCATTCAAGCTAAGATTGAAGCTATTGTGAGATTGCCAGCTCCCAAAAATGTTAAGGAAATCAAAAGATTCCTGGGGATGGCAGGTTATTACAGACGTTTTTGTAAGAATTTTCAGCTGTTGCTGAACCACTAACTGCTTTGTTAAAGAAAGGTGTTGATTTTGTATGGTCAAGTGAGTGTCAAAATGCTTTTTTAGACATTAAATCCTTTTTGTCTAATGCACCTGTTATGGCAGCACCAGACTTTAGCAAGCCTTTCAAACTTTCTATTGATGCAAGTGACTCAGCCATTGGCTCTGTCTTGTTTCAGGAAGACAACCAAGGTATTGATCACCCAATTGCTTTTTTATTCTAAAAAACTGAATGACAATCAGAAAAATTATTCCAGCATTGAAAAGGAAGCATTAGCTTTAGTCTTGTCCTTACAGCATTTTAAGGTTTATGTTACTTCCTCAATAAATCCAGTCATGGTATTTTCTGATCATGACCCTCTTAAATTCACCACTAAGTTAGGACAAAATAACAACAGAATTTTAAGATGGTGTTTGTATTTCCAAAACTTTAATCTGGTTATTTCACATAGTAAAGAAACTGATAACATTGTGGCTGACTGTTTGTCGAGAATGTAATTTCTTTTGAAATCCACCTTGATCATGTGAACTTTTTGTAGTTTATTGTGACCATTTTGCAAATGGTGTGTGTGTAAGAGTGAGCTGTGACCTAGTGGTTCCTGGCTTTCACCAGATCTGAGTTGTACAGTTTTTTCAAAATTATTATATTATTGAAAATGCCTGTTAATTTTAAGGAAACCTTATTTGAAGGTGGTTTCACATTATATGCATTAAGTAATTATAAAATGTATCTCGTTATTCAGTTGATGTTATAGTGGGACATTGAAATAAAAAAATTACCCTGTTGAGTTTCCCACAAGATGTGTCCACATGGATATGTTTTGTTACCCTTGCATAAGGGACTTTGATGTACTCTTATTTTTGGGAAGGATTATTTTCCCCTTTGGTAAATTGTAGAAGGTTGAATTGTTTCCCTTTGTTTTCCAGGGATGTTTTCTCATTGTATAGAAAATTTTGTTTGTTACTTTAGTTGGACATTTTTTTAAAAGTCAGATTTGTTCCATATAGATATTTTTTTTTTTGTGTAACAAATCTGCCTCTCTAAAAGGGAGGGGGTGTGACCTACTTAGGTCTTATTTTTTATAATTTAGTTTTTGGTTCATGGAATCGACCTTGGGAGAGTTGTACAATCACCTGTACTTTTCCGTCACGTCATGTGATGAAATTTTAATTGGTTATTTCGAACCTTAGTAAATCCCCAACCAATGGTCTTACGACATTGGAGTGACCTCCCCTGGTTCGGAGGTGATTTAAAAAGTCGGAAGGCAGAGGCTCGAGGCAACCTTTTATGAGACATCTTGGGAGAGAGTGCCATGTGTGTGACGCCATTTTGTGTTTCATAGTTTATAGCGGCAATATTTCTCCTATTATAAGTGTTTCTAGTGCCATTCAGTGTTTCCAATATTTTTCCTTAAGTGATATTTGTAATCTAGTCTAGAGATTTATTTCATCAACTGTGAGTTGGCTGTAAGTTGGCTTTTGGAATATTATTTACTCTTAGTTTCTATAATATTTTGTATAGACCAAGTGTCATTTTTATTCCTGTACACTTATTAAACGGCTGTTGACAGTTTCTCCTCGTTGTGAGTCATATCAGTTCAGCGTGTTTATACCCCTAGATCTTATTAACGAGCCCACGTTGAAATTTGTTGTGTTCTTACCCTCTTTAGTAGACCTCTGTCATTAACCATATTAAAACGAACCCGGGGCGTTCGTTAGTTCTGCGGCTGTCAGAATAATGATCGTATTACATGATTACATTACACTAACTTAGTAAGTCGACCATATAACCTGTTGTCTAAGTATAACTCTGAAAGTTTCTATTGTGTATTTTATTTTATTTTTATGGGATCCTTATCTTCTTTTAAGTGCATACGTTTTAATAGTCCTACACATTATACTATTAATTGATCAAAATGCATGCCTTCATTACTCTGCTCAATTGTAAGCCTAAACATACATATTAACTTGCCCAAGTCATGTTTAGCACCGCGCACACAACATATTTTTTGCACACGCACTCGTGGTCATTAGAGGGAACATTGATCCCCCACCTCACCGCCCCCCCCCCCCCCCCCCACCCCTCAAAAACAAAGCCTTAAAATACAACAAGCGCACCAAAAATATTTTAAATAATTTTTTTTTAAATATAAAAAAAAACAACCAAATATTAAATACAACACTTTACATATAAAAATCTGGTATGGAAAACTTAAACATTGCTTTTAATTATAAAAAAAACTCAAACTGATCAAAGAAAGGCTAATTTGTGCATTGTTAGGCCTGAATTTAGTGTGATATGTAGGCCTAAATGTATTTTTATCGGGTTTCGTGAAAAACAGGATTCGAGCATAATTTTTAACCTTCAGAAATATAACATATTGTAAAACACTGTAACAAATGCTTTAAAAACACAGACGAAGGAGCTTTAAAAACACAGACGAAGGAGCTTTAAAAACACAGACAAAGGAGCTTTAAAAACACAAAGGAGCTTTAATAAAAAAAATAAATATAAAAAACCTATATAGTTTATAGCTACAAGCTTTTAAATGCACTGAAAATAAGAAAATAAAAACTAATATACTTTCTTTAATAAAAGCTTTTGTTGCTAAAAAATGTAAAAGATCTTATAAGCTATCAAAGATCAAAGCTTTTATAATAGAAAGCAAATTAGTTATATTTTTTTAAAAATTTCAGTGCATTTAAAAGCTTGTCGCTATAAAGGCTGTTTTATATTGGTTTTATTTTCTACCTTTTAGTGATTCCTAATTTATGAAGTTGACACGGCTAAAAATATTTGCTTTAAAGCGCAGTCAGTAGCTCGCAATATCCAACATATAATTATCTGCCCATGAATGCAGCAATCCGTGACCATAGTTTACAGACGACAGCAAATTCTAAATCGTGTTACTTCCCCATAGTTTCAAATCTTCATTACTGCCCCTGATAGCCTTCACTAGATCGACAAGCTCTACGATTGTAAACATTTTCGTGAACCACAGCTCACCAGACTGGTGTTAGGGTTAACGGTGTCTGGCTAGGTATCTCCCCTTCTGTTATTGAATATAGTAATCGATCGAATGATTTAATTTTGTTATTTCACCTTAGTTTCAAGCCCGTTTAATTAATTTTAATGACTAATTAAACATCTAATTTAATTTAAAAATAGATAGACGTGTATTGTCATCAAAAGTGGAACGTATCTGTAAAGTTTGAACGAAATCGCTGCATTAGAAGTGGGTCAAAATTGAGTTACAAGATTTGCCACAAACCCACATACGTTGCGAACTAAATAAAAGATTGTAAAAACATAGAGTAGCTTTACAAACCTAAATATAGGTGATTTGAGCAGATGAACTCAAGTGTGAATATAGATCACTAGTAAAAAAAAATAGCATATTTATAAACCAGGTTCAGACATTCTGAAGCATTAAAACAAATGCTGACAAAACCAAACATTATGTTCAAACAGAAATAGAAAACTCCCGTACTATTGTGTAAGTATTTATTCTCAGATAAGATGATTTTAAGCATTCATCTAACCCTAACCAAATAGTCCAGTTTAATGTTAACTTAAACCTACCCAAATAGTCAAGTTTAATGTTAACTTAAACCTACCCAAATAGTCAAGTTTAATGTTAACTTAAACCTACCCAAATAGTCCAGTTTAATGTTAACTTAAACCTACCCAAATAGTCAAGTTTAATGTTAACTTAAACCTACCCAAATAGTCAAGTTTAATGTTAACTTAAACCTACCCAAATAGTCCAGTTTAATGTTAACTTAAACCTACCCAAATAGTCAAGTTTAATGTTAACTTAAACCTACCCAAATAGTCAAGTTTAATGTTAACTTAAACCTACCCAAATAGTCAAGTTTAATGTTAACTTAAACCTAACCAAATAGTCAAGTTTAATGTTAACTTAAACCTACCCAAATAGTCAAGTTTAATGTTAACTTAAACCTACCCAAATAGTCAAGTTTAATGTTAACTTAAACCTACCCAAATAGTCAAGTTTAATGTTAACTTAAACCTACCCAAATAGTCCAGTTTAATGTTAACTTAAACCTACCCAAATAGTCAAGTTTAATGTTAACTTAAACCTACCCAAATAGTCAAGTTTAATGTTAACTTAAACCTACCCAAATAGTCCAGTTTAATGTTAACTTAAACCTACCCAAATAGTAAAGTTTAATGTTAACTTAAACCTACCCAAATAGTCCAGTTTAATGTTTAGCTCAACCTAACGAAATAGCCAAGTTTATGTGAAGTTAACCCTCACTACTAAAATCAACAGCGCAGATACCAAGACAACATTAGACATTACTTTATAACAATTAATCATGTTATAAATAAAAGATATATGAAAATATACATTTGCTTTATGTATCATAGTACCAAAATTAGACAATAGATTTATGGTTATAAATCTGTTCAACAAAAATGTTTTATTTCAAATAATTTTGGAAGGATCTCTGATTCAACCTATGGGGTTGGCCTTGTTTTTAAAACTTGGCTTTGCTTGCTGATGCAACTTTTTTCCTCAACATGGCGACAAATCGTGGCTTGCTGACGATGCTATATTCACTGGACAGGGCTTCGTACATCAAGTTCAAGATGGTGTTCTCTAGAACCTGTTCCACCACGTTACCGGCCTCGGCTAGTCTGAGAGACAAGAATACTTGAAATTTATTGTCGTACCATACCAAGGTCATCATACCAAGGTCACCATACATTGATCTCAATACAGGGTCACCATACAAAGGTCACCAGGCACATGACAAAGTAAAAGACAACAATAAATCAGCAACATTTTAGGAATACGAACTTTCACATACGAATGAATTATTGCAAGACATTGCCAGCAAAAACTTTTATCCGACCAAACAATAGTAAAATGAAAAGAATCAAAATTTCATCCGAATAAAGTTTAAAACACTAACAGTATAAACTTTCATCCGAAAAAAAACGAGAAAAATAAAAGGAATCAAACTTTTTAATGTCTTGTTTTTCTTTGAGTTGCGCCATTTCAGCCATAGAAGACAGAAGATAAATATGGTCGGACTCTGACATGGGGCGAGCCAAAACATTCATGGCAATACTGAAGGCTTCGTGCAGTGAGCCGGTCTGTAACACATCCAGTATTTACAGTTAGATTCATGGCATTACACATCCAGTATTTACAGTTAGATTCATGGCATTACACATCCAGTATTTACAGTTAGATTCATGGCATTACACATCCAGTATTTACAGTTAGATTTATGGCATTACACATCCAGTATTCACAGTTAGATTTATGGCATTACACATCCAGTATTTACAGTTAGATTCATGGCATTACGTACATGGGATTCTATAGATGTCATTTCACACCGAGGTAAACACATAGTACAGACGTGACACATTGTACAGACGTGACACATTGTACAGACGTGACACATTGTTCAGATGTGACACATTGTACCGACGTGACACATTGTTCAGACGTGACACATTGTACCGACGTGACACATTGTTCAGACGTGACACATTGTTCAGACGTGACACATTGTTCAGACGTGACACATTGTTAAGACGTGACACACTGTACCGACGTAACAAAAGGTACTGACGAGACACATATTAAAGACGTGACACATGGTACCGACGTGACACATTGTACAGACGTGACATATAAAAGATGTGACGCATGGTACAGACGTGACACATATTAAAGACGTCACACCTGGTACAAACGTGACACATTGTACATACCTGAAACAAGGTACAGACGTGACACAAGGTACAGATGTGACACAGATTACTAAACGTGACACGTGGTGTACGCGTGACAAATTACTAAATGTGAGGTGTAGTGTAGATACGACACAGATTACATGAAAACCTTTTCACTCTCTGTCTGCAAGTTTTCCTCCTTATCCAAATCGTAGTCCATGTCGGCCGAGAGAAGAGTGGCCCTCAGACTGTCTGGGCCATTCAGCATTGACTGACGTCCCATGTACTGTAAAAATAATCAACATCAACTGACGTCACATGAAATTTTTGCAATCACGTAAAGTCATCCCTTACCCCAACCCATCCCTCACCCCCTACCCCTAACTCCCCTTGACCCTAACCAACACATTGATTTAAGCCTAACCTTAATGCTGAACTCAACACAATATTCAAACTTGACCCTAACGTTAAACCCAGCACAAGACTCACGTCATAGCTGTCATTCATCTGTGAGTCCGAAGATTTGCTGTCTGACTGAGCCAAATTGATCAACTCCGTATACTGGGTGAAATAAGGTATTGGCTCTTCCTGAATGTTCTTCACCGCTTGCAAGAAGTACGCGTCGTCCAGAAGATTTCTAGGTGTTAGGAGAAAACGTTTGTGGGTTAGGATTCAAGACAACTTTTGTGGGTTAGGATTCAAGACAACTTTTGTGGATTAGGATTCAAGAAAACTTTTGTTGGCTAGGATTCAAGAAAACTTTTGTGGGTTAGGATTCAAGACAACGTTTGTGGGTTAGGATTCAAGAAAACTTTAGTGGGTTAGGATTCAAGAAAACTTTTGTGGGTTAGGATTCAAGAAAACTTTTGTGGGTTAGGATTCAAGACAACTTTTGTGGGTTAGGATTCAAGAAAACTTTTGTTGGTTAGGATTCAAGAAAACTTTTGTGGGTTAGGATTCAAGACAACGTTTGTGGGTTAGGATTCAAGACAACTTTTGTGGGTTAGGATTCAAGAAAACTTTAGTGGGTTAGGATTCAAGAAAACATTTGTGGGTTAGGATTCAAGAAAACTTTAGTGGGTTAGGATTCAAGAAAACTTTTGTGGGTTAGGATTCAAGAAAACTTTAGTGTTTTAGGATTCAAGTAAACTTTAGTGGGTTAGGATTCAAGAAAACGTTTGTTGGTTAGGATTCAAGAAAACTTTTGTGGGTTAGGATTCAAGAAAACTTTAGTGGGTTAGGATTCAAGAAAACTTTAGTGTTTTAGGATTCAAGTAAACTTTAGTGGGTTAGGATTCAAGAAAACGTTTGTGGGTTAGGATTCAAGAAAACTTTAGTGGGTTAGGATTCAACTAAACTTTTGTCGGTTAGGATTCAACAAAACTTTTGTGGGTTATGCATAAAGAAAAAAGTTTTGTTTAAGGAAGACATCTATGGGCTAAGCAGAGGCGTAGTTGGTGGGGGGGGGGCGACCGCCTCGGGCTCCGACTTAGGGGAAAAGAAATTTGAATGCTCATTATAAGCTGCAGTTTTGAGTTACAAAGTTAAGAAACTTAACGACTACAAGACTTTACGAATTGATTGAACTGTTTTCTACGTTGATTATATAGCTGTAAAAGAAATACCCTTAAGAAACAGCGGCCGGAAAAAAACAACGATTTCCCTTTTTTATTTCGAAGGCGGGGAGGGAGGGGTGGTCCAAGACTGTCCAAGACACTCACCTGAGAATACTGCCCAAGACACTCACCTGAGAATTCTGTCCAAGACACTCACCTGAGAATACTACCCAAGACACTCACCTGAGAATAGTTCCCAAGACACTCACCTGAGAATACTACCCAAGACACTCACCTGAGAATACTGCCCAAGACACTCACCTGAGAATACTGCACAAGACACTCACCTGAGAATACTGTCCAAGACACTCACTTGAGAATAGTTCCCAAGACACTCACCTGAGAATAGTTCCCAAGACACTCACCTGAGAATACTGTCCAAGACACTCACCTGAGAATACTGCACAAGACACTCACTTGAGAATAGTTCCCAAGACACTCACCTGAGAATAGTTCCCAAGACACTCACCTGAGAATACTGCCCAAGACACTCACCTGAGAATACTGCCCAAGACACTCACCTGAGAATACTGCCCAAGACACTCACTTGAGAATAGTTCCCAAGACACTCACTTGAGAATAGTTCCCAAGACACTCACCTGAGAATAGTTCCCAAGACACTCACCTGAGAATAGTTCCCAAGACACTCACCTGAGAATACTGTCCAAGACACTCACTTGAGAATAGTTCCCAAGACACTCACCTGAGAATAGTTCCCAAGACACTCACCTGAGAATAGTTCCCAAGACACTCACCTGAGAATACTGTCCAAGACACTCACCTGAGAATACTGCCCAAGACACTCACCTGAGAATACTGCCCAGGACACTCACCTGAGAATACTGTCCAAGACACTCACCTGAGAATACTGCCCAAGACACTCACCTGAGAATACTGTCCAAGACACTCACCTGAGAATACTGCCCAAGACACTCACCTGAGAATACTGCCCAGGACACTCACTTGAGAATAGTTCCCAAGACACTCACCTGAGAATAGTTCCCAAGACACTCACCTGAGAATACTGTCCAAGACACTCACCTGAGAATACTGTCCAAGACACTCACCTGAGAATACTGCCCAAGACACTCACCTGAGAATACTGCCCAAGACACTCACCTGAGAATACTGTCCAAGACACTCACCTGAGAATACTGCCCAAGACACTCACCTGAGAATACTGCCAGGACACTCACCTGAGAATACTGTCCAAGACACTCACCTGAGAATACTGCCCAAGACACTCACCTGAGAATACTACCCAAGACACTCACTTGAGAATAGTTCCCAAGACACTCACCTGAGAATAGTTCCCAAGACACTCACCTGAGAATACTGTCCAAGACACTCACCTGAGAATACTGCCCAAGACACTCACCTGAGAATAGTTCCCAAGACACTCACCTGAGAATACTGCCCAAGACACTCACCTGAGAATACTGCCCAAGACACTCACCTGAGAATACTGCCCAAGACACTCACCTGAGAATAGTTCCCAAGACACTCACCTGAGAATAGTTCCCAAGACACTCACCTGAGAATACTCCAAGACACTCACCTGAGAATACTGCCCAAGACACTCACCTGAGAATACTGTCCAAGACACTCACCTGAGAATAGTTCCCAAGACACTCACCTGAGAATACTGCCCAAGACACTCACTTGAGAATAGTTCCCAAGACACTCACCTGAGAATAGTTCCCAAGACACTCACCTGAGAATACTGCCCAAGACACTCACCTGAGAATACTGCCCAAGACACTCACTTGAGAATACTGCCCAAGACACTCACCTGAGAATACTGCCCAAGACACTCACCTGAGAATACTGCCCAAGACACTCACCTGAGAATACTGCCCAAGACACTCACCTGAGAATACTGTCCAAGACACTCACCTGAGAATAGTTCCCAAGACACTCACCTGAGAATACTGCCCAAGACACTCACTTGAGAATAGTTCCCAAGACACTCACCTGAGAATAGTTCCCAAGACACTCACCTGAGAATACTGCCCAAGACACTCACCTGAGAATACTGCCCAAGACACTCACCTGAGAATACTGTCCAAGACACTCACTTGAGAATAGTTCCCAAGACACTCACCTGAGAATACTCCAAGACACTCACCTGAGAATACTGCCCAAGACACTCACCTGAGAATACTGCCCAAGACACTCACTTGAGAATAGTTCCCAAGACACTCACCTGAGAATACTGCCCAAGACACTCACCTGAGAATAGTTCCCAAGACACTCACCTGAGAATACTGCACAAGACACTCACCTGAGAATACTGTCCAAGACACTCACCTGAGAATACTGCCCAAGACACTCACCTGAGAATACTACCCAAGACACTCACTTGAGAATAGTTCCCAAGACACTCACCTGAGAATAGTTCCCAAGACACTCACCTGAGAATACTGTCCAAGACACTCACCTGAGAATACTACCCAAGACACTCACTTGAGAATAGTTCCCAAGACACTCACCTGAGAATAGTTCCCAAGACACTCACCTGAGAATACTGTCCAAGACACTCACCTGAGAATACTGCCCAAGACACTCACCTGAGAATACTGCCCAAGACACTCACCTGAGAATACTACCCAAGACACTCACTTGAGAATAGTTCCCAAGACACTCACCTGAGAATAGTTCCCAAGACACTCACCTGAGAATACTGTCCAAGACACTCACCTGAGAATACTGCCCAAGACACTCACCTGAGAATACTGCCCAAGACACTCACCTGAGAATACTGCCCAAGACACTCACCTGAGAATACTGTCCAAGACACTCACTTGAGAATAGTTCCCAAGACACTCACCTGAGAATACTGCCCAAGACACTCACCTGAGAATACTGTCCAAGACACTCACTTGAGAATAGTTCCCAAGACACTCACCTGAGAATACTCCAAGACACTCACCTGAGAATACTGCCCAAGACACTCACCTGAGAATACTGCCCAAGACACTCACTTGAGAATAGTTCCCAAGACACTCACCTGAGAATACTGCCCAAGACACTCACCTGAGAATAGTTCCCAAGACACTCACCTGAGAATACTGCACAAGACACTCACCTGAGAATACTGTCCAAGACACTCACCTGAGAATACTGCCCAAGACACTCACCTGAGAATACTGCCCAAGACACTCACCTGAGAATACTGCCCAAGACACTCACCTGAGAATACTACCCAAGACACTCACTTGAGAATAGTTCCCAAGACACTCACCTGAGAATAGTTCCCAAGACACTCACCTGAGAATACTGTCCAAGACACTCACCTGAGAATACTGTCCAAGACACTCACCTGAGAATAGTTCCCAAGACACTCACCTGAGAATAGTTCCCAAGACACTCACCTGAGAATACTGTCCAAGACACTCACCTGAGAATACTGCCCAAGACACTCACCTGAGAATACTGCCCAAGACACTCACCTGAGAATACTGCCCAAGACACTCACCTGAGAATACTGCCCAAGACACTCACCTGAGAATACTGCCCAAGACACTCACCTGAGAATACTGCCCAAGACACTCACCTGAGAATACTGCCCAAGACACTCACCTGAGAATACTCCAAGACACTCACTTGAGAATAGTTCCCAAGACACTCACCTGAGAATACTGCCCAGGACACTCACTTGAGAATACTGCCCAAGACACTCACCTGAGAATAGTTTCCAAGACACTCACCTGAGAATACTGCACAAGACACTCACCTGAGAATAGTTCCCAAGACACTCACCTGAGAATAGTTCCCAAGACACTCACCTGAGAATACTGCCCAAGACACTCACCTGAGAATACTACCCAAGACACTCACTTGAGAATAGTTCCCAAGACACTCACCTGAGAATACTGCCCAGGACACTCACTTGAGAATACTTCCCAAGACACTCACCTGAGAATACTCCAAGACACCCACCTGAGAATACTGCCCAAGACACTCACCTGAGAATACTGTCCAAGACACTCACCTGAGAATACTGCCCAAGACACTCACCTGAGAATAGTTCCCAAGACACTCACCTGAGAATACTCCAAGACACTCACCTGAGAATACTCCAAGACACTCACCTGAGAATACTGCCCAGGACACTGGAGACTGTATTGGCCTCAGCTTTGGAACATTCCAAATGGGAGGGTGGTAAAAATTGTCTTTTTGCCAGAAATTCTTGACTTTCACTTAATGTTCGGTCTATGTAGAAAGTGCAGTATTCATTGGGGAAGTTCGTCTGTAATTGGACAAGTATGATTTATTATAACTATTTACATTTCTTTTATTGGAAACATTAATTTGAAAAAAATTAAACAGAATTAAAGAGAGAGCTATAAATGGTCGCTATTGAAAGACAGTTGATTGAAGTTAATTGAAGGTAGAAAAGTAATCATTTTTAAACGGATGATAGTATGGTGAATCGTCTATAAAGATATCTAAAATATAATGAAGTTTAATACAGAACTTTGGAGTGGAGCATAAACATAGTGCTAGGTGCACTAGTGAGGCAAGTCAACTTTAGTCAGTAGTGGGGGAAGTCAACTTTAATCAGTATTGGGGGAAGTCAACTTTAGTCAGTAGTGGGGGAAGTCAACTTTAGTCAGTAGTGGGGGAAGTCAACTTTAGTCAGTAGTGGGGGAAGTCAACTTTAGTCAGTAGTGGGGCAAGTCAACTTTAGTCAGTAGTGGGGCAAGTCAACTTTAGTCAGTAGTGGGGCAAGTCAACTTTAGTCAGTAGTGGGGCAAGTCAACTTTAGTCAGTAGTGGGGGAAGTCAACTTTAGTCAGTAGTGGGGGAAGTCAACTTTAGTCAGTAGTGGGGGAAGTCAACTTTAGTCAGTAGTGGGGGAAGTCGTGGCTAAACATGACTAAAACACAAATAAGACCTGAATAATACATGAGTTAGACATGACTAAAACGTGACTAAAACGTGACTAAAACATGACTAAAGCATAAATGATTTATGACTAAAACATGACTAAAACATAACAAATCACGAATAAGATTTGACTAAAGCATGAAAAAAACATGACTAAAACATGAATGAGACCTGACTAAAGCATGAAAAAAAACATGACTAAAACATGAATGAGACCTGACTAAAGCATGAAAAAAACATGACTAAAACATGAATGAGACCTGACTAAAGCATGATCGCACCTGAAAGTCTTGTATGTCGTGTGTCCTGGCAGTAATACCGAGGTGCAGAAGGGACGGCTTGATTGGAACTGGCTTCTGCCATAAGGCTGCCAGTTTTTTCTGTCGTCTGCGTTCAGCATCCCTCTTCTCGTCCTCAGTAAGCTGGCGGATTGGTGGAAGTGTCTGCCCAAGTAGATGGATGGGGTAGGGAAAGGATTATTTGTTATTCACAGGATTCGATTCTGAGGTTACAGTTAGAATTAGGGGCGTAATTCTAGTACTGCAAGTCACCGCAGGGTAAGGGGTGGGAGGGTCGGCGTGTCATACAAACTTTTGGGTTAGGGTTGAGGCAAAGAATTTTTTAAAACAGTTTCATTAAAAATTAAATTTAATTTATATTTAATTTCTCGTATAACGGTCTGTCTGTCTGACTGTCTCTTAGTCTGACTGTCTGTCTGACTGTCAGTTCGTCTGTAAACTGTAAACACAATAAATTGAATACAGTTTCAGTTCTGTTTATGAAATTTCATAAATAAGTTAACCCTAAAACTCACCAACATTGCCTAACCCTAACCCTCAGCTAACAATACCTAACCCAAACCTCACCAACAATACCTAACCCAAACCTCACCAACATTACCTAACCCAAACCTCACCAACATTACCTAACCCAAACCTCACCAACATTACCTAACCCAAACCTCACCAACATTACCTAACCCAAACCTCACCAACATTACCTAACCCAAACCTCCCCAACATTACCTAACCCAAACCTCACCAACAATACCTAACCCAAACCTCACCAACATTACCTAACCCAAACCTCACCAACATTACCTAACCCAAACCTCACCAACATTACCTAACCCAAACCTCACCAACATTACCTAACCCAAACCTCCCCAACATTACCTAACCCAAACCTCACCAACATTACCTAACCCAAACCTCACCAACATTACCTAACCCAAACCTCACCAACATTACCTAACCCAAAACTCACCAACATTACCTAACCCAAACCTCACCAACATTACCTAACCCAAACCTCACCAACATTACCTAACCCAAACCTCACCAACATTACCTAACCCAAACCTCACCAACATTACCTAACCCAAACCTCACCAACATTACCTAACCCAAACCTCACCAACATTACCTAACCCAAACCTCACCAACATTACCTAACCCAAACCTCACCAACATTACCTAACCCAAACCTCACCAACATTACCTAACCCAAACCTCACCAACATTACCTAACCCAAACCTCCCCAACATTACCTAACCCAAACCTCACCAACAATACCTAACCCAAACCTCACCAACATTACCTAACCCAAACCTCACCAACATTACCTAACCCAAACCTCCCCAACATTACCTAACCCAAACCTCCCCAACATTACCTAACCCAAACCTCACCAGCATTACCTTATATTTGCTGAGCTCCCCATCTGCTGATATGGGCCGTCCTTCAGCCAGCGCGTCAAGTTTGGAAATTCTTCCAGAAGGTGTTCCATCCTAGAGCAATGCAGAAAACACTTTCGAATACACGTGTGCTCAATCAAGTCTACCTAATACACCTCTACCTCCAACATCACATCCACCACACTACGCCTCCAACATTACATCCACCACACTACCCCTCCAACATTACATCCACCACACTACGACTCCAACATCACATCCACCACACTACCCCTCCAACATTACATCCACCACACTACCCCTCCAACATTACATCCACCACACTACGCCTCCAACATCACATCCACCGCACTACGCCTCCAACATTACATCCACCACACTACGCCTCCAACATTACATCCACCACACTACGACTCCAACATTACATCCACCACACTACGACTCCAACATTACATCCACCACACTACGACTCCAACATTACATCCACCACACTACGACTCCAACATTACATCCACCACACTACCCCTCCACATCACATCCACCACACTACGCCTCCAACATTACATCCACCACACTACCCCTCCACATCACATCCACCACACTACGCCTCCAACATTACATCCACCACACTACCCCTCCACATTACATCCACCACACTACCCCTCCACATCACATCCACCACACTACGACTCCAACATTACATCCACCACACCACGACTCCAAAATTACATCCACCACACTACGACTCCAACATTACATCCACCACACTACCCCTCCACATCACATCCACCACACTACCCCTCCACATCACATCCACCACACTACGACTCCAACATTACATCCATTACACCACGACTCCAAAATTACATCCACCACAATACGCCTTCAACATTACATCCACCACACTACGACTCCAACATTACATCCACCACACCACGACTCCAAAATTACATCCACCACACTACAACTCCAACATTACATCCACCACACTACGCCTCCAACATTACATCCACCACAATACGCCTCCAACTCCAACATTACATCTAACCCTAACCTACCACAATGTCCACGACATGCGGGGTTCTCTTGTCAGCATCGAGATCTCTTTCAGTGACAGTGAACTCGTTCATCTGACGTTCTCTCTCAGCCTCCCAGGCCGACAGTTGCTTTCTGTAGCATGTGTATTCGTGCAGGTCAGAGATCTTAAATACAATTGACAACTCAAACTATTATATCAACTCAAATCTTAAATACAATTGACAACTCAAACTATTACATCAACTCAAATATTGAATACAATTTTACAAATCAAACTATTATATCAACTCAAATCTTAAATACAATTTACAATTCAAACTATTATATCAACTCAAATCTTAAATACAATTTACAACTCAAACTATTATATCAACTCAAATCTTAAATACAATTTACAACTCAACAAATAGTTCATGAAATGACAGTTGCGTCATGGGAGTGATTGGAGTGATGGGAGTGATGGGGGTGATAGGGGTGATGGGGGTGATTATTGGGTAAAAATACATCTTAGAATGTTTAGTGTTAGGTAAAAATACATCATGCAAGCCATGTCCATACTTCATGTGTTACCTTTAAAACTGATTAAATATTCATCTTGCAACCATTTGAGGCTACCTAACCATGATCTATCTTCTTACCTCACATACAAGGTCAAGATCATAGAAAGCAGAAACGCCATAAGCCATGAAGCTGACTCGACACATTTTATAGTCCCCAGGGGCAATCTCTCCTCTCACTGGATAAATACTCAAAAGCTGAAGAATATTTCAGAACATTTGATAATCTCAAAGATAATCTCAAAGATGATCTCAAAGATTTGTATCAATTAAATCTTGATGTTAAATACTACACAAAATATTTTCGAAACAAATGATAAGCAAAATGTAGTGCCTGTATTATTTTATGTATGAAATTTAGAAAAGCTAAATATGTCGCATAGATGTTTTTAAATATTGAAAACGAAAATTGAATTTAAATAATATTCTTAGAGACCACTACAAAAATGCTGGTAAAGATCCTAAAAATTTCGAAAAACTAAATTTCAGTAATAAAAAATGTAAACGTGTGCCAACAATGTGTAGATGAAATGTTTTAGTGTGATTATGTGTTTGACCTTAGCATCCGTCTGTGAAGTGACATGCCATTCAAAGAAAATAGATCTGTCCATAGATTTGTTGGTCACAAACAGCATGCGGCGAGCTTGGGAAAACAAAGGCATGTTCCCAAAGGACAATCTCTCAATGGACAAGTAACCAAGCTGTAGATCAATATAGGTCATAGCAATATAGGTCATATCATTGTAGGTCATATCATTGTAGGTCATATCATTTTAGGTCATATCATTGTAGGTCATATCATTGTAGGTCACTTTAATGTAGGTCATAAAATACGTCACATCAATGTAGGTCATGTCAATGTAGGTCACATCAATGTTGGTCACATCAATGTAGGTCACATCAGTTGGTGGGACTAGGACAAAAATTGGTGGGACTAGGACAAAAGTTGGTGGGACTAGAACAAAAGTTGGTGGGACTAGGACAAAAGTTGGTGGGACTAGGACAAAAGTTGGTGGGACTAGGACAAAAGTTGGTGGGACTAGGACAAAAGTTGGTGGGACTAGAACAAAAGTTGGTGGGACTAGGACAAAAGTTGGTGGGACTAGGACAAAAGTTGGTGGGACTAGGACAAAAGTTGGTGGGACTAGGACAAAAGTTGGTGGGACTAGAACAAAAGTTAGTGGGACTAGGACAAAAGTTGGTGGGACTAGGATAAAAGTTGGTGGGACTAGGATAAAAGTTGGTGGGACTAGGACAAAAGTTGGTGGGACTAGGACAAAAGTTGGTGGGACTAGGAAAAAAATTGGTGGGACTAGAACAAAAGTTAGTGGGACTAGGACAAAAGTTGGTGGGACTAGGACAAAAGTTGGTGGGACTAGGACAAAAGTTGGTGGGACTAGGACAAAAGTTGGTGGGACTATGTCTAAAGTTGGTGGGACTAGGACAAAAGTCTCACCTGTCCTGGCACCTCTGCCTTCTGTACTGTCGGGACCCCGCAGAGTTGTGGCTCATCAGAGAAAGGCATAGTGTCTCCCATGATCCTCTTGTCGTAACCAATGCCAACAAATGTCACAACAGCTGTATCGCCATTGTCAATGTGTAGTGGGATATCAACCTAGAATAAACAAGGTGACATCAAATAAAGGTCAGCACTCTAGAATAATTAAGGTGACATTAAGTAAAGGGTCAGCACTCTAGAATAAACAAAGTGAAATCAAAAAAAGGTCAGCACTCTAGAATAATTAAGGTGACATTAAATAAAGGGTCAGCACTCTAGAATAAACAAAGTGACATCAAATAAAGGTCAGCACTCTAGAATAATTAAGGTGACATTAAATAAAGGGTCAGCACTCTAGAATAAACAAAGTGACATCAAATAAAGGTCAGCACTCTAGAATAATTAAGGTGACATTAAATAAAGGGTCAGCACTCTAGAATAAACAAAGTGACATCAAATAAAGGTCAGCACTCTAGAATAATTAAGGTGACATCAAATAAAGGTCAGCACTCTAGAATAAACAGGGTGACATCAAATAAACTTAGTTTAACAGGTATTTCACTTCTCTATTTAATTTGTAAGTAACAAATGTATGTTTGATACACCAAGCAAACAATAAATATAACTACACCTTGTTTTTAACATTTAAACACAGCCCTGTCATCTGAACTATTCTACAATAAACAACTTGAGTGTTTCTTGTACAACAATAAACAACTTGATTGAGTGTTTCTTGTACAACTTGATTGAGTGTTTTTTGTACAACTTGATTGAGTGTTTCTTGTACAACTTGTACAACTTAATTGAGTGTTTCTTGTACAACAATAAACAACTTGATTGAGTGTTGTAATATATGTGGGAGGGGGGGGGGAATCATTCTTCTTGTATTAGTCTTATACAGAATAAACAAAGCGTAAAAAAAATGGCTTCCTCGTCTGTTGTATTGTATCTGTCTAGAATTATAAGATCTCAATCCACTTCATTGGCGACGAGGATTAATCATCCACTAAAAAGAGCACATGCTTACTTAAGAAGAAGCTTGCTAGAGCATATTGGCTAAGTATTTGTAGGATAATGGCGCTGTATGGCCAGATAAAAGAATTTAATTCGAATGAAGAAACCATTCATGATTATCTAGATAGGTTAAGCTTTTACCTTGAAGCTAACGACGTGACGATAGAAGCCAAAAAGAGAGCTGTTTTGTTAACAGTCATAGGGCCTCAACAATTTAGGCTATTAAAGGACTTATGCGCACCAGCTAGTCCAGCTACCAAGAGCTTTAACGAGCTGAGCAAACTCCTAACAGACCATCATGCGCCTGCACCACCAAAGTTCCTGTGTAGAGCCAGATTTGACGGTAGGACTCGTCAACCAAACGAATCAATATCAGAATATGTTGCTGCTTTATGTCATCTAAGTGAATTCTGTGAATTCGGTGACACGCTGTCCGACAGACTATGTGAAAAGTTTGTGACAGGTGTAAACAGCCCTGATGTTCAAAGAAAGTTGCTTCTCGAGTCAGATCTAACAGTGGAAAAAGCAATACAACTTGCAACTTCATTCCAGCAGTCATCCGATGCGGCCAGATCTCTGGCGCCTTCAGGGATCCATGCAGTAGACAGCAGGCCAGTCAACAAACACCAACCCCATCAGAGCAGTTCAACTTATGCTAAACAGCCTGCAAGTTCAAATCCTAGATCTAAATCTAGTAATAATTATCAAAAATGTCATCGATGCAACGGTCCCCATGCATCTCATCAATGCAAGTTCAAGTCAGCAACTTGCTATAAGTGCAGTACGCAAGGTCACATTGCCAAGGCCTGCTTTGCAAAGTCTTCGTCTGTTGCTAGATCTAGCCAGTCAGGACAGTACCGCAACCAAAGGCAGCACTATGTTAACTGTCACCAAGACAGCCTAACCCAACCAATGAACCACTCTACCAGTGAAAATGCTCAAACTGATCCGCAGCCGGAGTTCAACCTGTTCTCTGTGAAATCAACTAGTCATGCTCCCATCAATGTACTAGTTTGTATCAACGGTAAGAGCATCATCTTTCAACTTGACACGGGAGCATCTCTAACCGTCATCACAAAAAAGGACTTTGACTCTGTCACAGGAGGATCAGTGCCTCTACAACCATGACTTTTTTGTCACAAGTGCCTAACAACATACACAGGTGACAATGTTCTGGTGATAGGAGAGTGTATAGTTCATATAAGCTATAATGGTCAAAGTGTTAAACTTCCTCTTCTTGTGGTTGAAGGAAACGGACCACCATTACTAGGTAGGAACTGGTTAGTTGATCTTAAGTTAGACTGGGGGAGTATATTTTCAGTGAACAAAGCAAGAGAATCTAGTTTTACTTCAATAGATAAAGTTGTATCTGAAAATGAAGGTGTCTTTGGTAGTTCAGGGTTACTAAATGATAGGACAGTGAAGATAAGCATTAAAGACACAAATCCAAGATACTGCAAAGCTAGAGTTCCACCTTATGAAATGAGGGATAAAATTGAAAATGAGCTAAGTAGATTGGAATCTAATGGCATCATAAAGAAGGTAGACTGTTCCGATTGGGCAATGCCCATTGTGCCAGTGTTAAAGAAGGATGGTTCTGTAAGGATTTGTGGAGACTATAAAGCTACACTGAATAAGCAAATAGAGCTAAATAGGTACCCTATTCCTAACATTGGGGAAATTTCTTTGAATTTAGCAGGAAGAGACAAATTCACTGAATTAGACTTTAGTCATGCTTACACTCAACTAGAACTTCATCCAGATTCAAAAGTCTATACGACAATAAACACACATAAGGGACTCTACCAATATGAAAGACTATGTTTTGGTATATCATCTAGCCCTGGAATTTCCCAGGCTGTCATGGACAGTATTTTTCAGGACATTCCAAATGTGTGTATTTACTTTGACAATGTATACATAACTGGTAAGAATGACACTGAACATCTTAAAACACTTGATAAATTCTTGAAAATAGTTGGTGAAAAGGGTTTAAAGATAAACAAAGATAAATGTCAATTCATGCTGACAGATATTAGTTTTCTGGGTTATAGTTTGAGCAGGTAGGGTCTCAGACCTCAAACTGAGAAAACAAAAGCCATTAAAGAAGCACCCAAACCTGAAAATACCCAACAGCTAAGAGCTTTTTTTGGGCTTGATAAATTACTATGCGAAGTTCATAGGGAATCTGTCTGATAAACTATCACCACTGTACAAGCTGCTGCAGAAAAATGCAACTTGGCACTGGGGTAAACAACAAGATGCTGCTTTTAATGCAGCAAAAGAAGCTTTGTCTTCTGACACCTTGCTAACTCACTATGACCCAGGGAAAAGACTTATCTTAAGGGGATATGCTATGTTTTTTTCTATTTTTTACAATCTAATATCTAAAGCATTTTGAATACTTTTATCATGTTTGGCATATAAAAGTAAGTATTAAACAGCAAAAAAAAGGGTTGAAAACAATTTTGGTTGTCATGGAAACCCGAAAAAACCTCCGCCATTTTGAATTTTTTGGTACTTTTAAAAAGGCTAAGGCTTTTTTATTTATGCACCTAGAGCAATCAAATTTAAACTGCTTATATTTCAGTATATATTAAAACTTTTGTCACGAAAACTTTTTGAAATAGCTACTAGTAAGAATTTTACAAAGTCTACAAAATCGTAACATTTTTAGTGTTCAAAATTTTCAAAATTTGCATATTAATTACCAAATACTTTTTTTTCTATGTAAGCCATCACAATTCCCTCGTGACAAAAGTTGTATTTTTGCACGAAGAACAAATACTGAAAATATGGTTGCGATTGTTTAATAAATGAAAAAGTAGTAGGCTTTATAGTGTTAAAAACATTCGAACTGAGAAAACAGCCAAAAGTAACGAAAAGTAGGTCACGAAAATACCATATCTGGGTAAACTGCAAAGCCGATTGTAAACTTTGGGTGTTTTCGAGATGATGGAAATTAAGATTATCAAATAAAGGAGAAATCCAGCTTTCCAATGATGCCAAATACAATATGATGAGGGATATAAAACTTTTCATAGAGAGCGTGTAAGATTGGGAAAAATTGATTATTTTTAATTAACAGGGTCATAAAAATGTTAATTTAATTACCTAAAAAATTTTTTTTCTCTTTAAAGTTATTACTTTCCTAATACAAAAATGGACAAAGTATGCAAAAGTGCAAGAAACCCATCATGACGAAAAACAAGAAATTTTGTGTTTTTTTGTCGCGCATATCCCCTTAACATGTGATGCTTCACCAGATGGTGTAGGAGCAGTTTTATCCCACATAGATGGAAATGGTGACAGACCCATTGCTTTTGCCAGTAGATATTTGAACCAGGCTGAGAAAAATTATTCTCAGTTAGATAGGGAAGGCTTAGGCATCATTTTTGGTATTAAGAAATTTCACAAGTTTCTGTTTGGTAGGGAGTTCACCATCTTTACAGATCATAAGCCATTGCTGGGTTTGTTTGGGGTGAACAAACCCCTGCCTGAGCATGCCTCACCAAGGGTTCAAAGGTGGGCTATCACACTAGCCGCATGCAATTATGAATTGAAATACAAACCTGGATCTGAGAATAGTGCAGATAGTCTTAGTCGTTTACCTTTAAAAAACCAAATCCTTAGTTATGTACCAGAAGATGTATTTGTTCTTTTCACTATCATGGATAACTCCAATATAAATGTGAATGATGTTAAGAGAGAAACACAAAAAGATGAGTGCTTGATAAAAGTATATGAGTACTGTAAGAATGGTTGGCCTGAAGAGTCAGTGAATGATGATTTAAGGCCATATAAAATAAGAAAAATAGAGTTAAGTCTAGAAGATGGATGTGTGCTATGGGGGTCAAGGGTTATTATCCCTAAAATGTTACAAAAAGAAGTTTTAAGAACTTTACATGATACTCATCTTGGTTCTTCCAAAATGAAGAGTCTTTCACGATCGTGGTTCTGGTGGCCACATATGGATGCTGATATTGAAAAATATGTAAAGTTTGTTCAAGCTGTGCACAACATTCAAAACAACCAGCTACAGCACCTTTGCAAACTGGAATTGGCCAATCGAACCATGGAAACGTATCCATATAGATTTTGCA